TTAATGCTGTGGTAAGACCACCTCATCCTGGGCTCAGTGACATTCTTTAAGTCACTGGAACCACTCACAAGGCCACAATGATTGAATGGAATGACAAACAGTTAAGTCATCAGAAGGTGCGTCTTCCTTCTCAAATGTGGGGGTATCCATCCAGGCACCTTCTACTCATCTTCTAGTTTCCTTTCTGCGTCTCACTCAAAGACCCTAGAACTTAGCTCCTTCTGGCTACAGCAGGCCACTTCAGGACTGACTCCTGACCTCTCCCCCAGTTTCTACAATAGACAATGCTCATTGATGTGCTTCCTCCAAGCCATGGCTGCACCAACTTCACCCATAAGCACAGTGGGAACCTCACCAGGTACTGTGTGTCCATAAAGGATGACTGAGTACAGGCACAGGCCTCCAAGGCTTGCTGATGATTTCACACCAGTCTGGACAGACACTGTCTGTCCTGCCTACTTCTTCCCCACCTAACCCGATGTGACTTCATATAGACACGCTTACCAGAGCCGAGAGGCTTCTTTCTGCCCTGCTTCTCTCCCTGAATTCTCAAATCTTAGTTTTCAGGGCCTTGCTTACTGGACCAGGACCCCTGCTTTGCCCCATGATGGTTAATGTCCATTGTCAACTTGATGGGATCTAGACTCATCTAGGAGTCATATCTCCAGGCACGTCTGTATCTAGATTGTGTTAATCCAGGAGGGAAGATTCATCCTACATGAGGGTAGCACCATTTCTTTTGCTGGGACCCTGTACTGAATAAAAAAAGTGGAAGACAGCTGGGCATCAGCATTCCTCTTTCTCTGCTTCCTGACTGCTCTCACGGTGGGACCAGCTGTGTCTTGCTCGTGCCACCGTGCCTTCTTCACAGTGATGGACTACCCTCAACCTGTGAGCAGAAACAAGTCTTTCCTTCCTGAAGTTGCTTTTTGTCAGCTGTTTTGTCATAGCAATGAAACCAATATAGCTCCCAAGCTAAGTGCCTGACTTAGGGTTTCTATTGCTGTGAAGAGACACCGTGACCAAGGTAAATCTCATCAAGAAAAACATTTAGTTGGAGTGGCTTGCTTACAATTCAGAGGTTCAGTCCATTAATGGTGGGACATGGTGGCATGCAGCCAGACATGGTGCTGGAGAAGTAGCTGAGAGTTCTACATCTTGCAGGCAACAGGAAGTCAACTGTGACACTGGGAGTAGCTTGTGAATAGGAGACTTCTAAGCTTGCCTCCACGGTGACGCACTTCCTCCAACAAGACCACACCTACTCCAAAAAGGCTACATCCACTAGTGATACTTCTTTTGGGGGCCAGCTCCTTTTAAACCACCACAGAGCCTGCCCCAAGCTTCTATATAGATTGCTGGTCTCCAGGGTCTAAGCCAGGTATCCATCTGGCCACACACTTGCTACCAATACTCACCTCCTACACACCGTCTCCCTTGCTCACTGACCCTCCCTGTCCAGCCTGTGGGGTATACCAGATCTCCAGAGCTCTGTGGCAGCCTGCCCATCTCAGCATCAGCTTGGAGCTAAGCTTCTGCCTGCTGAATGCTCTGTTTGCACATATTCCAGGCCCTGGGAGGCAGGACCACACAGCGGGTATAGAGTGTCACACCAACATCTTTTCAGTCTATCACTGTGCCTTAACCAGCCTGACCTTAACCTTCCCACCGGTCACTTCTCTAGATGTTCAGTGAATAAGGCCCAAGCTTCCACCTGAAGGTGTCTGTTCTTTAGTTTCGGTCAAAGACCCAGATGAGAAATGACCCTTGCCATGGGTATTTATTAGTTGCAGCTATAATTATAATAATACCAAGGACTTTAAATGACCCAAATTATTCCTCAAAAGAAGGCTGTCTTAAAAGCCCTTAGCACACCCATATGGTGTACTGTGCAGCTGTTTTTAAAAAAGTCGTTCCATAAAGAACAATCACCATGGAGTAAGAAAAACAAGGTGTGGAAGAGTGGTTACAGCATATGGAAACTTGTTAGCAATTATGCACACTTGTACATGTCTGATCTGTATGCTCGCTGAGAGAATGCATAGGGCATTAATGATAATGGGCACCCATAGGAAGTCAGAGACAGGTGGCAAGGACTAGCTTCACTATACACCGTTTGTCTCATGAATGTTCAGTTGTGGGATTATACCACTAACTGACTAATTTAAAATATGCCAGGTAGTGGCTGTTTGTGAGCTTCTCTGACTGTCTGTCTGGCCTCCAGACTCAAGTGCCACTGGGTACAGTCAGGATACTTGACACTCAGACTCTGTCAAGGTGTCTCCTGAGTGTGGTCTTCCCGGAGGGCCAGCAAGAATTGCTAACTGGGACAGTGACTTAGCTCTTAAGGTCATCTTTGTATCCCTGCTGATGTTACGCAAGCCACTCATACTTTTGTTCATTTCAACTAATGAGGCAGTCTAGTGTCTCATCGCCAATTTCTTTCTTTCTTTGTCCAGGCTACCAGGTAAGCCCTTTCACATAATTATTCCCCTCTCCTCGTCTGCTCCCACACAGTGTGGCTCATCAGGAACTCTACCCCCCCTCCCCAGTTTCCCACAGATCTGACCAGAGGAAGAGAGATTCTGGGTGGCAACCAGTGTGGCCAGAGGGCAAAGAAGATCTTCTTGGGAGAACAGGCTTGGGACAAGGGGATACTGGGCAGTTTGCAAACACTGCCTGTGGCCAGATTCTTCCAAACGATTTCATCAATGTCTGGAGTTTACCTAACAGCCCAGGAGGCATTTAGACAAGTTGATTACATTTTATGCCTGCAGTTGGAAATGTTCGAGTAGGTTTCTCTGCATTTCTACAAGGATTTTGGGAATCCCAGTGAAGGCTGATACAAATTCATCCATCCACTTTTCTAAAAGTAGTTTCAAAAAGGTTTTATTTTAAGATATGAGTTGGATTTTCCAGTGTGAAGAAAGTCAAAGATCAACTGGGAGATGTCTTCCAGAAAATGATTATCTCATTTTGTGGAGGAAAGCCGTTGCCTTAGCCCAGGAGGTTAGCAAAGCTTATTCTCTAAAGCAGAAATCACTGGACCTAACAATCAGCCTGGATGTCCATTGAGCCTATTAATCTAGGAGGTCTGGTTCAAGTTCTGACCTTGGCATTTGGCATCGAGAACTCAGAGCTGGGCACCCCAGCACAGACTCCACAGGTAGTTTTTGGCACTGCACTGAGGCATAGCTTTCAGCAGTGTGTCACAGGATTGGGTGAGAATGAAGGGGAGCCTTATTGTTCCCCTAATTCTAGCCTTTACCAATGCTCACTTCTGGTGGTGTAGTGCTAGGGACCAAGCAGTGGGCCTTCAGCAGCTGCCTTCCCTTTTCAGGGACAACTTATTAAGAGTCTTGGGAGCTTCCAGGGTTAAGGCTCCTGACATGGGTGACCTGGGTTACTGCTTCACTGAGCAAAGGTTTGGTTGTCAAAATAGAAAGAGCGGAAGGGGTAATTTCTACAGTGCACAGTCTATACCCTCTTGGTTGTTCCATAGATTCCTATACTGTATCCAGCTTAACACAGTGATGGGGACACTGTGGCCCAGAGGACTTGAAACCCATCCTAAACTAGGGGGTGTTAGAAACAGAGTTTACAGCTAGGCTGAGAGTCCCTAATGCTGCCTCTCCTGAGATGCTGGGAACTCCTCCATGTTCAAGGCTAGGGACAGGAAATTAAGGCTTCGTGTTGGAGGGGCTATGAATTCCCCTCTGGGGAAAAGATGTGGGGGTGTCTGGGCCTCCCTGAATGTTCCCTGCGTGACAATGGCTCTCATGGGAGCCTTTGGGCATTGCCAGTGTTCTGGGCCTCTGTCACGTTCACAAATCACTGGGGCTACTGCATATACATCAGGGGACTAAATTGTGTTCTTGGCTGTGTGCACAACACACCAGTTCCAGGCTCTTATAGATTCCAGTGAGTCAGGACTGTGGGGTATAGATGCCTGCCTTGTGGTTTCCCTTGATCACAGCAGAGTTGCAAGGTTTCCACTCAAGTGGAAAGCAAAGCCTCCTTCACAAAAGTTACTGAAGTGGCCATGACATATTTTTACTTGCTGTTAATTTTTTTCCCCTTGAGACAAGGTCTCTATCTACAATAGCTTTGGCTGGCCTCAGACTTGCAGGTATCCTCCTGCCTCTGTGTCCTGAATGTTGGGATGACAGTTATGTACTATTATACTATCATATCTAGAATATATGATGCTAAGGATCTGTTCAGGGCTTCATGTTTGGTAGGTTAACCAAGCCAGACCTCCAGCTCTGCCGTTAATTCTTTTTCACTTTTCTATTCTGATGGGCAGAGGATGCTAACAAGGTACCCATCCTATCTCTGTATTCTGTTTATGACTGGAGAGCTTAGCTTTGATAGTTAGACGTGGGCACCAGCTTCTGTAAAGACTTGTTCCATAACTTTGACCAAGAGAAGTATTTTTCCATTTTGAAAATGGGTTAACATGGGCAATGGTGGCTCATGCCTTTAATCCCAGCACTTGGGAGGCAGAGGCAGGTTGTTCTATGTGAGTTAGAGGCCAGCCTGATCTACAGAATAAGTTTCAGGATAGCCAGGGCTACACTGTGAAACCCTGTCTGGAACAACATAACATAACATAACATAACATAACATAACATAACATAACATACAAAAAACCAACCAAACCCCCAAAAATGTGTTAACAGTGACAACCTTTTAAAGCTGCTGACACCATTAAGCGAAGTACATAGTCACACTCCGCGGTGCAATGGCTGGTACTTATTGTTCTTATTCAGTATTTCTGCTATATTGTTTTAAAACACCACACCACAAACTATATTTTAAACGGGGTGGGTGGTTCATGCCTGTAATCCCAGCTGCTTGATAGCCTAAGGCAGGAACATTGAGAGAAAACTGGGTAATGTAGCAAAAGTGTGTGTGTGTGTGTGTGTGTGTGTGTGTGTGTGTGTGTTTAAGCAACAGCAATAACAACAGGGTAGATGTATAGCTCAGTGGTAGAGCACTTGCTGAGCACGCACAAGGGCCTCGGTTCAATTCCCACCTCTGAAAATAAAGAGAAAAAGTATAGACATTTTAATGTACATTTAGAACATGCCAGAGCTGAGCTGAAGGGCATTTGGTAATAACTTGTAGTGAAGGTCAAACGTTTTAAAGCATTAATATAGATGAGTTTTTATGTGGAAGCCCAATTAATATATAAAACAGTTAAAAGCAGACTGCTTTGACTGATGTTGGGGTATGGCCCTCAGGGCTCCTCAGAATGAGGAAGAAGAACCACAGATGAGGAGTCAAATGACCCATCTGCAAGGATGGTGGGAGAGAAGCTTCAACTCTGCTGTCACATGGTGTTGGCACGTCCTCTGGGCTCCCCATCCTTGTCTGTGAAGCTGGAACAGCAGTACCTGGCTGGCAGTCTGAGCTCACACCCTGCTGCTGGCTGCTCTCAGAGCACACAGAGAATGGGCTAACAAGCCAAGCCAGGTTGTGAAAGAGTCTAATGGCAGGCTGACCTGAAGGCACCACACAGGGTCTATCCAGCTGGCACAGTTCTCTGTCTTCTCCTGCTGTGCATCTGTCCAGGACATCACCTCATTCCCCGGGCTCTAGGTAACAGGGAGGACACCTGCCAAGCATCTGACCATGGCCTTTAGTTGGGCCTATGCCTTTCTGCACAAATTCCTGCTTTTGTCCCAGTCTCTATAGGGTCACAGTCTCTATAATGAGCATTCTCTTCACAACAGACCAAACCCTTTCCTGCCCGCAGCATCTGTCACGTGACCTCTTGAGACAGCATCATTTCTCACTGTCATACGCCTGACACCCCGTCTCCTTAGTTTGCTATATGCTCATAACCAATGTCCTCGGGCATAATGTAGACGTCAGATTTTATCCCCACCTCTCCATCTCATCCAGTTCCTGCAAGTCCTCAGTTAGGGTCTCTTTATATTCTATCATAGATTTCCTTCCCTCCCTCCTTCCTTCCTTCCTTCCTTCCTACCTTCCTTCCTTCCTTCCTTCCTTCCTTCCTTCCTTCCTTCCTTCCTTCCTTCCTTCCTTTTTTGACTCTACATCTGTGACCTGAGCACTTACTTGTTGTCTGGCACTGTCTTGGCATCTGGATTTAGTGAGGGAAATGGGTCCATCTCCAAGCTACCAGATGAGTACAGGAAATAACCATGGACTGTGGCTACACATACGAGTGAGAAAGGAGCTAGAAACACCACAGTTCTGGAGCTGGGGCTGTACTGCATCCTGGACAGTGGAGAGGGGAATACTCTTCTGAGAGGTCACTTCTAGGCTAAGAGCTGCCAGAGGACCACATCCCACAGGTATGGGCCTGGGTGAAGATCACCATATCAGAGGGAAGAGCTGCTTCCAGTGCCTTGAGAGAGGGAAGAAGGGCTTTGGAGGATGAGGGGTTGGGACCCGAGCAAGAAAGAGAAGGAAAAGGGGTGATGAGACTGGATTAGAGGGGTCGGCAGGCTTGTTCTCCAGGGATTGTCTAGGCAATGACTGGCAGAAGGAAGAGCTTGAGTGCACTCTGGGTAAGAAAAGTCCAGGCAATGGATGTAGCAGATACCAAACCCTACCATAATACCACACCTTATAAACATATACAAATAGCATGTGTTATGTGTCAATCAAAAAGGTTAAAAGTGACAGAAGTACAAAAATAAGAACAGCAGGACTGCTTGTTCTCTAGAGGGGGAACTGGAAGGGAGTGAGGTGGACAGAGATGAGATGACGCAGAGTTTTTAACCAATGAGGAGCTGGTGAGAGAGTCCTCTGGGGGATCTTTGGGAGGGAGCAAGGGTTTCTCGCCCTTGGCAGCTACTGTGTGGAACAAAGCTCCTTGAGTGCTTGGGGTGTACCATTCTCTCCTCTGCACCCGTGGAAATCTGACTCTGGCTTAGTGTGGAGGGCCAAGCCAGGCAAATCAGCAGCAGTGAGATTTCCAGCTTAGGCTTACATACCATCTATCCCTGACCCTTACACTACTGCCAGCAAGCATGTACAGGAAGCAGAGCCTTCTTTGTGGAATTCCTGTGAGAGGCACCCTCAGGGAGCCTCTTCAACCTTATTTTTGCTGAGAGGTAGGGTGGGTAAATCAGCGCGCCACACAGTGACTCCAGAGCCAGTGACCACACGTGTTAGCACCCCAGATCAGCCTTGCCACCTTCCTGCAGGTAGATACTCTGATTCCCTGCCCTCCATCCCTGGTTTGCTTGGATCACCGGAAGCTGTGTGTGAAGGGCGTTGCCTTTAGAGCAGCATCATTCTCCCACACTTTGGCTTGCATTTTCCTGGCTAGTGGGGGAGTTGAACAGATTCCAGCTCTGGAGGGTGGTAAGGCTGGTATAGCTGCAGAGAGGGGAAGCTAGAGGGGTGAGTCTCATGTTTGCTGCTATGGTGAGTGGCCACTAAGGAGCCTGCCTCCTCACCTGTAAAACTAGTGCACTCAATTCCAGGCCAACCAGGAATGTTCCCTGGTTGGGACCTTGAGTAGCACTTCATTTAGGAAATAACACTGGCCTGGTAGAGGTGTTCAGAGGGGTTCCCAGCTCATGGAGCCCAAGCCTATATCAGGCTCAGAGGCATTGGCATTTGCTTGGATCCTTTCTCTCTCTAGGGAATCGGAAGGCACCTCTGCCCACATATGGCCCTTCCTGGTGGGAAGGAGTGCAGGAAGTACTGGGGTTGTCTTGACAAGACCTCTTACAGAGAATCTGGCAGTAGAAGTTTTATTTCAGGTAGTTTAGAAAAGCCACTATGGATGACTCTATTCAGAAGTAGAGTTTGGAGCCCCCAGGACCAATCTCTATGTTGACACCAGGCTCCAAGTTCATATCACCCAGGCCTTGGGGTGTAGCTTCAGGGATAGGAGGAAAGGAAGTCAGGGCTGAGTAGGTAAAGCCCGGGCCTGGGTTAGGGAGTGAGGGAGAGGGTACCCTGTAGCAGCCAAAGGGGGTGGAGGACAAGGTGTATCTATCTCATTTCAGGAGACCCTGGGGTCCCAGGCCAGAGCCGGTATGGGACAAAATACTCTTGCTTTAAACATAGTCAGGCCAATCTGGGTACAGCTGGGTGAGATGACATCAGATCAACCTGGGCTCTCAGAACACCTTGCAATCCAAGTAGTTCAAGGTCTTCACAGGGTATGGTGTACCTCCTTATTTGTGTTTATTTTCCCCAGGATCCCAACATCTGTGATCATCATCGTCTTAGGCCTAGTGCCCAGCACTCAGTCAGTCCTCAGGACATGACTATGGATGTAACATATGGCATTCTAAACATGTGCAGCTTAAAAAGCACTTTCTGTGCATCTGCTATGTGCTTGGTCCACAACCCTGGCGTGGCGGTTCCCAGTTCAGACTCGGTCTCCATTCGTATGGGCTTAGATTTGGGTAAAAATGAAGCCCCCTTAAAACTAACTTCCATCAAATATCAGCTAATCCTGCCAACTGGTTGCATTTCGTAGGCTCATTTATTTGGGCGCTTGGCCACATGCCTGGTAAATATGAAGTCAAGGGTTTGTTTTAGGTCCAAACTTGGTCCCTGAGTGGCTGGTAAAGACCGCCTGGCTCCTTAGTTTATTTCATGGGGGTGTCAATGCCTGAGAGAAACACAGAAGCAGCTGTGGGGGGTCACAGATTTTACTCAAAGGTTGGGGGGATGATCATGAATTTTGTTCACAGGAATGGGTCAAGGCAGTGGGAACTATGATTCCATAGCTGCCAAACTTACTCTGGAGCTGGAGGGACCTTGGATGTGAGTGTGTGAGATAAAGCAGGAGTCTTTAACAGGGACCCACCAAGCTGGGTCACAGTGGATCATCACTCCCTGCTCTCACTTGCCTTCTTCTTTTAATGAGTCCCAGTGATTGAGCATTCTGGGAAATGGCCAGTGTGTGTGTGTGTGTGTGTGTGTGTGTGTGTGTGTGTGTGTGTGTCATTAACTGGCCTGCACTCCCATCTGTCCCATGATCAGTATCCAAGAGGGCTGGCTAAGTTGGAATCAATGTGGGATCCTAGTTTGGGAATTTTTAGACACTGGGTGGATTCTAGGTCCTATTCTTCCAGACTCCTTTGATGTTGGGCAACTCCCTTTCCTCCTATGGTCCTCAATTTCTCAGCCTGAAAAAAAAATGGGAAGGGTGGATTGACCTAGTATAATTCTAATCCAACTAGGATCCCATTAAGTTGTACTGGGAGCATCTTTTCACACACACAGTTTGGCTTTGTGTTCCCAAAGCCCTAGGGAAGGTCAGTGGCATTTCCCTTTTGTACACAAAACATGTTCAGAGGACTTCTGTGTGTTAACTGAAGCCACACAGCCAAGAAGCCACTCAGCTGAGGTTCAGCTTCCAGCTTGCCAGTCTCCTCCTTCAGGGACTTGAGAGCAGATGCATGAACAGCCACCAACTTAGCTTCCAGGCTCCTGCCTTCCTTCCTACCCAGCAACTCAGCTCCCACTGTGATGTAGGGAGCTAGGGCACGGAGGGAGCCCTGGCTGAGGCTGGTGGTGCAGTCTACTGGTTGATGCAGGTGTGCTGTGGCTGAAGACAGAAAGTGAGCAAGAGAACTGGCAGCCTGGGTCTGCCTGTTCTAGTTGAGCCCAGGAGGCTCCATTTGGCTACAAGCGAAAAGGGGCTGCTGTTCGTCGCCATCTGGGGGCCTCTGCCTGGTCTCCTGATTGGTCATTCTCAGAGTCTTCCGTCTTCCCCCAAATTCCTGCACACACCTCTTAGCCCCCAGAAATTATCACCTAACACTGGGGAGCTGAGTGCAAGGTATTAAGACAGTACTGAAGGGACAGAGTGCAGGTCTCTGTCCTAATTAGGGAGGAGACTTCAAGGGAGGCTTTTTATCCCAGTCAGTTCAATTGCTACTATCCTGGATGCTTTTGAGAGCTCGGATGGTTGTCTTCTCAGAACCTTGGGCAGCTGTGACTCCTGCTATGACACCGGGCAAGAGAATCTCTGTCTCTCTCTCCTCCTGGGCCTCAGTGTTCCCATCAAGGCAATAGACAAGTGGCTGAGCCCCATGAATGTCAGGCCTTTCCCACTGATGACATTTTTGGATACACTGTCATGTACTTTTCCTTTCCTCCCAGAGACCAGGGACCAGATGCCTTGGGAGAGATATCAAGCTTAAAGATAGCTCTCTCTGTCTGAGTGTTCCCACCAGGCGGCTGCAGGTGCCCCTCCTCCCTCAATGCTCTTCCATCAGGTCCAGGCCCGCGGCAGATCGCGGCCTGGCCCTTTAGCTCTGTTTGGGTAACGCCAGCGAGAGATGGAAGGAGCGCAGCGCTACAGCGGCGACTGCAGCGGACGCGGCGGCGGCGCAGGGGGCGGGGGAGGAAAGAAGAGCCCACTTGTCCCATGGCTCCGCAGCAATCCTGGCCCTGGCCTCGG